AAATATGACTACCCAAGGAAAACTCCAAACCCAGCCGAGTGTCATTATTGATCGATGGATCGCGACTCGACGATAATAACCCACTACTAAAGTGCTAATAGTGGGTGAACCTACCAATAGAAGATGCCACTAGGGAGAACTATGACGACTTAAAGATTAAATTCCTAAAATTCATGGATCGTTAGCCTTGAGGACAAGATTGATTTAAAGAGGGCGGGTCTATTAGGACTCTAGCTAAGAGAGTCCTAATTAAATTTTATTGAAAGGGGCATTCATGTAAAACCTACCTAGCCAACTCCTATTAAAGAGGTGAAGAGGCCGGCTAGGGTTAGGATTAGTTTGGAGGTTGATTCTTAGATAAATATTATGAGTTGGTTAGAAGTAGGAGTCTTGAGTATGAGTCATATTAGGAGTTAGAGTTTAGAAGCCCTATAAATAGTCATGTATTCATCCTCTTTTGACAAGCAATAGATGAATCTTTTTAGCAACCTTTGAGCAGCAACTTGGAGGAAGAAATCCCTATAGAGTTCCAAGGAGGTCGATCCCCTAAAGAGATCAACCCCAAGCTTAAAATCCGCTAGGGTTCTAATATGATTCTCCTGTTAGTTCAATATCAACTATAGAACACAATTGAGCTATAGGATTCTCTACGGAAGGAATATTACATTTCTTAATCTTCTCTAAGATACTAAGACACATGCCATTTATCTTGTCTGATGAAGATTCTTCTACATAACTTGTAGAAAAAAGTTTGGACATTTTGGAGTGATCAAAGCCTTTTAGTTCACCTTTTATATATCTTGTTCCAACACTTCCTTCCTGCCAAGTTCTAGCCTTCAATGTTCCTATGACATCAGAAAATTTCAACTTGACATCGAGTTTCACATAGGTGAATATTCATCTTTGATGTCCAAATTTGTGGGAATAGGCAAACCATCTGTATCATTTATTCTAGATTTATCGGAATGGTATAGCTTTCCTGCTGCATCATCTCCCAGTTTCTCACCATAATTAAGATGTGAAACATCCTGTAACAATGGACTATTTGAGATACTACTACGTCCATCATCCACTATGTTATCACACCCTTCAGCATCTAACTTCCCATCAACAGAATCTTGCAAATGATTAGTACTGTCGTTGTCGACCCCAAATGAAGGAAAATAAATTACTGCATGTCTCCATTTTCCTTGAGTTGGTTGAAGATGTTTTCTTCTGCATATCTACCATCTCCTGTTTGCCCACAGTTTATTCTATATGCATTACCTAGATTTTTCTAACTGTTTAAGGAATCCTTCCTTTAACCTATATAAATAGGGAGAGAACAGTTTCAATGAAAATATCTTCTTCAGTTATTTTTCTATCTTCTATTCTCCTTTAGTATTACCTTCATTCAAGTCTTTTCTAGAATACTCAACTTGTTTAGAACAAGCAAGATCCTCAGCATGATGTTCAACTGGACTAGCACATCCAACAATATTTTCATCATTTTTGTCCATATCATGCTTACCCATCAGAAATTATGAAGACTTGTGCATTTCAGATTCCGCTGAAGCACTCATGCAGAACTTTTTCAGATGATCACTGAAGTTTGTTGTCAAATTGTCTCCGTCAGAGGTCAAAAAAATTTAAGACCCTACATATAGGAAACTCATCCGTAAGAACTGGAAATTGATGCTTCATCAAGAGAAGGCAACTTTCTAGGAGAGATTGAAGTTGATCTCTTATTAGAATATTCATCAGCATAATGATCCCAGTTAAATGGAAATCCAATCAAGAAATGATTGCAGAGCTGTAAATACGATGAACTAGAGGGTATATAGTTGACATTTTTTTAATGCTAAACTATGCACTAACTGTTCTGACAACAGTTTACAAAACCAGGCCATACAAGCCTAATCTTCTCCCAGCTTCTATGTAGTTGTAGATTAATTTTGTGTTTCGATTCAGTTGGAAGTCCTTAAAGATGGACTTCTTTAATAACTTATAATTACATAAATACAACACACTTCTCGGAGAACATAATATACAATTCACTAATCAAACAATGGACTGTCAGGATTAAATTTGAGTGTCTAGCAGGATTTTCACGAGCTTACTGAATTATTAGCATTAAAGTAAAAAAGATCACACACCTCAAGAGGAAAAAGTCTTTGTTTATCCTTGAATTGTTACTGAATTATTAGCATTAAAGCTTGCTGAACTACAACATCATGCTGTCTGCTGTCTCAAAAGTATTAAGCATCATTTTGGCTAATAACAGGTGCAGAACCGAATAATGTAGCTGCATGTTGCTCGCAGTAAAGTTTCATATAGTAATAAAACATGACATTTTCAATAACGAAAAATATAACAGCGCAATATATCCTTGAGAAAACATCAAGTTGCAATAAAATGTTCATTTCCATTTTCATGCCACAGGACCAACCAATCACCTTGATACAAAGTCAATGGCACACACGTCAAACTGAAAAGCAACAAATAGGGAAGTCCATTCTTCAAATGGTAATAAAGAAAGCAACATGCACGGTTAAATGTGTCGGAAAGAATAAAAAAAAATATATTAAAGAAGCTAATTTATATTGAAGCTTTTCTCTCCCTATTTATAAAGAAAAATTTTCTCTCAATAAAATATAGAGATTTTCTCATACAATTAGAAAAATCTTATTAGAATAAAAAATTTTACTCATATAGTTAGAGAAATCTTATCTGCTATCATGCCCTCACAAGATGATGTTCCAATCCAATCTTAAATCGATGCAAAACAAACAGTTTACGAGCGAGAGACTTCGTAAGTAAGGCAAGAGCAGATCACTACTGCTGCTATGACTGCGATGGCGACAACTATAGTTGCTGCAGCTGCAGCTGCTGTGAAAGCTGTAGCGATGCTACAACAGAGGAGGTAGCTGCAACATGCTACAGTAGAGGAGGTAACTACAACGATGCTGCAACAGAGGATGAATTTGTAGTGATTTGGTAGAGAAATCTACAACGATTAGCTCTTAGCAGGAGCTGAGGATCGACAGTTGATAGCAAGGCAACTAGCTGTGATTGATGCAAATCACAGCCCGATGAAGATGATGCTATGGCAGCGAACAACCCGAGCCTGGGCTTGGTGCAAGCGGTGCCAGTGAAGAAGAAGGTCGCATGGAGGAGAAGAGGGAAGGGTTGGAGAGGGATCCACTACCGAGGGCGAGTAGCTAACCGCACCAAAATAGACCCTCATTGTTGTGGCCACGCTTGATGGCGACGTCGGGTGTGGTCACTACAGCGGCTGGGGTAGCAGCGAAGGCGTCATGCACCGTACAGCGGACAACCGTATAACGGACGAAGAGGGGAGTCTGATAGGGAACCGAGTTCGACGGGAAAGAGTTCCCCCCTTCTCTACTCTGCAAAGGGGATATGGTGAATGGTAGGTTTTGATGACTGTGGAGTCTCGGTCGTCTCACTGGTTCTGATATTATGTTGGAAAAAATAGAAATCTTATCAAGAGATTTACTCGCTTATCAGCTATCAAAATGGTGTGACGAAATGCATAAACTTAGCAAGGATATTTACTGTCCCGTAAAACCATGGAACAATGACGCGGGAACTCAGGTGACACGACTATAAAACCAAGATTATAAAACCTACCTAGTACTTCAAAGAAAAAGAAAACAAAGAACATGGAACAATGATGTGAAAGGTATAACAAAAAGTAACATAATAGTTCCGGCAACATATATTTTCAACCAACAATGAGGGAACTCAGGTGACACGACTTCAACTATCCATATTATTGGGCCTTTAACTATGTAATAAATTTGAGGCCTAGCACTTTGATCATATCATCAAGAAAGAATAATATTCCACTCATTTCTACTAAGATAAAGTAAACAGATCATTGATATATAATCAGTCGCAGAAATGGACATGTCAGCTACAAGTAGTAGATCAACCACCTTAAGCTCATTGAGCCCCTATGTAGCCATCATTATTTCTAGTTCATCCTTGAATCTTGACCATGAAACTCATATTCTTAAACTCATGCCCCACATTTGTGACATCTGGTGAAATAAGGTTTTGCTCGTTGGAATCTTGGAAAGACAGCAGCATTTTCATCTTTCTGCCTCTGTTACACTGCCATCTCAACTCTTTCAAACGAAGGAACACAAAACATTAGCTCTTCTTAGAGACCATTACTCTTCAACCTAGTTAATTGTCGAACATCATTCACAAATGACAATAGTCAAAAGTCAGATCAAAGATGGAGAGGAAGAGAAATGGGTGGTCGTCCGACAACCTAGAATAAAGTGTTTGTTCCAAGAAATTGCTTGAGAACCATTAGAAATCTTGTGCAAATGCTACTTGAGTTTCTTCATGATAGACGATCCAAGTTTCCACAAGAAACTAACTTCAATTCCTTGATAGATTGTCTTAATATAGTATTTGATATTCACCTGGCAAATACTTTACACAAAATTGCACGAGATTGCTGCCAGTGCAAAGACCTAGGAAGGGTCTGGTGTCTGTCTTTAACCCTTCTAGGGAGAAAGGTTTTTATGGTAAAAATTAATAAGATTTTGTTTAGAATTGATATAAATAATTTTTGCAATTGGAAGATAATATATTTATAATATATTGAAGAAAAGATATGGGCACAGTATACTTATAATCAACACATAATGTCTACTGATAAAATAAGGATGATGTCTAAAAAGCATGATGAATAACACAGCAAGGATCATAAGATGATGTCCACTGAGAAAAGCATTTTCACATCCTATGAATTGACCACATGAGATAGATACCATGCAATGCAAAATAAGGTGCTTCCAACAAGCATTTCTTGGTGATATATTAAGTGATTAACGAAGATCAAAGAAACACTTGGTTTGAAGAGAAAACACATGATCTGTGACGTAAAAAAAAAATATATATAAAGGAACTAAATGTTTCGTCACAAGAAGAATCTTGCTTGACCTAAATGGTCTTGGAGATATGACCACCTTAAGTAGGTTATTGCTGTTTGTGAGTATCCAAGAGAGAGCAAAACAACGGCATTCTTTACCAACATGGCGGGATAAATGATGCTGATGATGATCAAGCTCTGATGGACGCTACGGACATCCAACCATCTTTGAAGCGCACACCACGGCTAGGGTTCGGAATTCTGGGACGACGGCGGCCGCCATGCACAACTCAGCGGTAACCCTCAATCGTTCTCTTCCTATCGTCTACGGAGTTTGGACCCTCAGAATATTGCGTGTTTTCGTCGTATTGATACGACATCTCGTCTGATTGATCTTGCTGCGTATTTCATCGAATTATCTGGTCGTCTTCGAGCCCGTCCGAGGTAATTCCGTCTGATCTTTGACTCTAGATGTAGTATTAATTTTTCTTTCTACTTCTTTTGGTGCTTTGAATGGTGGAAAAATCGATTTTTTTGGGGGGCTTTAGTAATGGTGATTTGTTGGATTTTCGTCCAAGTGTGCTAAAGCGTCTATTTTTTTCTGATATTGCGAACGACAAAATGGCGGTTCCGTTGCTCACGAAGAAGATCTTCGAGAAGCCTGTCAAGAAGTTGAAGACGCCCCAAAGCGACCGCAAGATCTGCGTTAAGGTAAAATCGATTTACATGTTTATTATTTCGACTCCTTAAATGTGTATACATGACTAGTATGTTGATGACTGTTTGGCTGCTAAAAAAGAGTTCGACAGCTAAAGTTTCATTGCTGGATTGTCGTTGTTTCTAGATTTTGCTCTTAGGTTGATGCTTTTGTCCTACAGAGTACTTGATTTTTTATTTTTTATAATTCTAGTTTATAATCTTCTTTGTGTCTTCCCCTACCTTATGTACGAGAGATGTTCTGCGATAATAGGCAGGGGAAGAACTTGTAAATTTAACCACAATTACGTGACAATGCTAGTGGTATTATTGTATGTCAAAGAGCATGTACATTTACTTATTATTTTGTGGGAAATGATGGTTGTCTTGATAGGAAAAAATGTTCCATAAAGCTAAAACATGATTGTTTCTTTTCATAGATTTAAAAATTACTAGGCATCAAAGGCACTAAGGTCCCTAAAACAAAACGAAACGCTCTAAAATATTATAATATAAAAAATATATAATATAATTGATAGATATAATTATATAAATTAAAATATAACATTAAATTTAAAAGATCTAAAGTACCAAGTCACATTATCTATCTTCCAAGAACAAAAATGTTAAAAGACTTAAAACTATAAAGTTTTGGATCAAATTTCTCTCGTTCATCTTCATCAAACAAATTATCCTCCTCTTCAACAATGGTGGGAGATAAGCTTGAAGCTTTTGCACTCATTTTTCTTTCATCATCTACCTTGTATATATCTGTAATTCTCTAATACCTGAGGCTCTTGTCACATCTCCCTATGTCAAGTTGTCATCTTCAAATATAAGTTCATCTTCGGTATCTTACAAGTTCGCACCCATTTCTCCCTTTACCAACCATTCATTTGAATCATCAATATCTTGTAATGAGATTGGATCAATATTATTTCGTAAATCTTGATGAACCTTCAATGCTTGATTTTCCTTTACATGAACAAAATCATGTAATCGTTGATGTTCTGATCGATTTCTTCTCTTTGTGTGACTCTGTCATGTCATATAATTTAAAAATATATTAATATATTTATCTAAAAAAGAATATATTAATTGAAATAAAAATATTGTGTTATCCTTATATTCTCAAAGACACTTTAGTTTCACTCACAAAGCATGATAACTAATTGCTGTAAGTTTGGGATCGAATTTCCAAATAGATTTCATCATTCATTTACAACATTTACTTTATTATTAACAATAATATATATAATTAATTATATCAATTTATTAATACTTGGGAATGTAGTTGTCCTAGATTAAACTGTCAATATAATTTTAAAAAAATCATTAGTATTATTATATAAAAATAATTCACATATGATCTTAACTTGCACCTCAAGGTTTAGAATCAATCTTGCAATGCACTGATGTAACCCATTTATAACTTCTGCATCAAACTCAATGAAAATGTTCTCATAAAAGAATTCTATGTTTAAATAATATCATGTTGTATGTAATGGACGATGAAATTTATAATTTCATCTTACATTAATGATTGTAAATATTTTCTTGTACTTTTCTTTAGTTCCATCAAAAACTTTTGAATCGTCTCCTTTGTTTTATCCATAGCCTCATAAATATATCTCATTGTAGATTTTCTTTTCATTATCTGTCAACCAAATGACTCGAACAAGAGAGTCCATTACCTTTAATATATAAACTATAAGATTTCAAAAAGATGATATTAAAATGATAACACCAGCCTTCTTGTCTTTCGCTTCTTTTGCTCATTTGTTTGTCATCAATTTCTTCGAGGTAAACATGTTTCTCATATTATGTTTTTGATGATACACGCTCTATAACGTCAAGAAGTAGCAAATCGAGTGACACCATATCTTACCAATTCATTATTGCTTGTGAATTCTCTCATCGTATTCAAAGCCCTAACATGATTATAGAGAATATACCGCATATGGAAGTGTTATCTTTTTGTTTTAAGTAATTTACCTACGATAAAAATAACGAAACTGATAAGATTTGGGAGTCATATAGTTCTTGATGTCTTATCATATTTTTTAATAGAGAATACATGTTGGTTGGGTTTTTACATGTTTTGATGTTGTTTCATTTTTTGATATTGTTATTTTATGATGGAAGTTTCAGAAATTAAATTTGGGCAATTATTCTTGCAGTTTACTTAGGCATGTATCTTTCATGAGGCATAAATTGGCAGCTAGTATGTATTATGTGTATATACATGATTCTTTACGACCTAGACAACCAAAGTTCGACAATGGAAATAGTCTCTTCGTTTGCAAGAGCAAAGTTACATTGACCCTCAGATCTTGCTGGTGCGAGCCTCATTGATTGTGATATTATTTTACACATGAAAGTTCATGCATGATTGTTGTGTCTGCACGTACGTGATATATGATAGCAGATAAGATTTTCCTAACTATATGAGGAAATCTCTCTATTCTATTGAGGGAAATCCTCTAATCTGTTGAGGAAAATCCTCCCTCCTAACCTGTATAAATAGGAGAGGGACATATGAATGCAATCAAGCTTCTTCGATAATTATTCTTGTCTTCTATCTTTTCCAACATGGTATCAGAACTCTGGACCAGCTTCCTCGGCCGCAACTCTAGCCGCTCCCTCCCTCCGTCGCTGCTCCCACCGTGACCGCACCCGGCGTTGGCGGCATCTTCATTGCTGCGGCGTTTTCCACGGAGAACAGTGGATGCTGTGGCTTCCTCTCCGTAAGTGAACGGTGGATGCACCCTCCTTCAACAACTAGATCGCAGCCTGTCCTTCTCCCACTGCCTCCTCAACGACGGTGTCTTCTTCCTCAACTAGATCGCTGCAGATTTCTCGCAGATTTCTCCCGCTGCAGTTTCCTTGAGCATCGCTACAGCTTCCTCATTTGCTGCAGCTTCCGCCGCAGCTGCAACCGCTGCATCGCTGCAGATTTCTCGCAGATTTTTTCCGCTGCAGTTTCCTTGAGCATCGCTTCAGTTTCCTCATCTGCTGCAGCTTCCGCCGCAGCCGCAACCGCAGCCGCTGCATCGCTGTAGATTTCTCACAGATTTCTCCCGCTGCAGTTTCCTTGAGCATCGCTGCAGCTTCCTCATCGCTGCAGCTTCCACCGCAGTCGCTGCCGTTGCATCTCACTTCCCTCTATCGCAGCCGCCATAGCCGTAGCCACAGCCACAGCCTCAAATGTAGCTGCAGAGATCTGCAGCAGCAGCTACTCTTCTCACTCATTTCCTCCACCTTTTGTGAAGTCCTACTATAAAAAAAAAATAATAATAAAGAAAAAAAGGGGTCTGCGATGTCTTCGTTATCTTCTTCTGATATTCCAGTTCCTATTTCTGTAGGGACTCACAATTCTTCTCCTACAAGGCTTATCTCCATCAATGCTGCCACGCTAATCCCTTTTAAGTTATCAAAGGGTGGCAACTATGCGTCCTGGTGGGCTCAATTTTCTAATCTCTTATTTGGATACAACTTGTTAGGTTACGTTGATGGCTCCTTTAGTTGTCCGCCAGCCATGCTCAACATTCCCGGAGAACCTAGTCCAGTACCTAATCTAGCTCACAAACTGTGGCTGCGTCAAGATTGTCTCATCCTCCATTGATTTCTGCATGTGTGACTACTGCCAATGCGTGGTCTAAACTGCAACCAACCTTGGTGAATCATTTGCGTACTCACAAGCTCAGTCTTTTAACCAAGTTGATGGTGACCAAAAGTTGATGGTGACCAAACAAGAGGGAAGTACTATCATTGATTGAGTTCATCATCCATACCCTAAATGGTCTTGGAGACAACTACAAGGAATTGATGGTTGCAATTCGGGCACACAACTCGCCAGTCTCTTTGAAGAACTCTATGACAAGTTGACTGACTATGAGATGTATTTGAAGCGTGCAGACAAACTGCCTGGACCATCTATCACAGCTCAAGTCAGTTATAAGTCTAAGAGGAAGAACACTTGGTACCCTCCGAACATCATCAAAGGTATTCTTGATCCTATGGGTCCCACGCAACACCCCCCTTATCCTCCTAATCATAACTTCTCGTAAAGTGGCAACTCCAATACTCGTTCGCCTTGGCATCCTGCCCCTTCAAGTCAACAACGACGGGTCGTTTGCTAGCTGTGTGATAAAATCGGATACTCCGCTAAAGTTTGTCGGTCTTGACCCCGCCTTCCTGCTCAGTCACACTGGCCTCAGGCAAATCTCCTCACTACTCCGACAACTAGCCAGCCCAACTGGATTGTGGACTCTGGAGCATCCCATCACATCACCTCTGATCTTCATAATTTCTCTCCACAATCCCTATGGTGGCGATGAAGATATCATCATCGGTGACGGTAAAGGCTTTCCTATAACTCATACTGGTTCCACAACGCTTCTGATACTACCACATTTACACTCGATGATGTTTTATGTGCCCCTAATATTAAACGCAACCTCATTTTTGTTTCTCAATTTTGTAAAAATAACAATACTTCAATTCAATTCTTTCCTGATTCCTTTCTTGTTAAGGACTTGAGCACGAGGGCATCCTTGGTCGAGGGCCCGAATAAAGGCAACATTTATGTATGGCCGTTAGCTCCATAAATAATCCAGCCCACTGTTCATTCTTTTGTTGCGGCTCTAGTTGATGTGTGGCATCGTCGTCTTGGTCATCCTCCCTTATTCAGCAAAAATTACTTTCTCGTTTCTCTCTTCCTATTTTTAAATCATATAGTTCTATACTGTATTGTGATACATGTCTTAGTAATAAAAGTCATCGACAGCCATTTGACTCATCTTCCATTTCCACCTCTAAACCATTTGAAATTATTTATACAGCTGTTTGGGGTCCTGCTCCAATCCTGTCTTTTGATAAATTTAGATTTTATGTCATTTTTGTAGATCACTTCACTAAGTACACATGGTTATATCCTTTTCACCATAAATCTGATGTTTCAACCATCTTTCCCACTTTTCGAAAGTTGGTCGAAAACCACTTTCAATCTACTATCAAAACGGTTTACTCTAATGGTGGCAGTGAATATCAAGCCCTAGCATCCTATCTCTCAACTTATGGTATCCAACACCTCAAGTCTCCCCCACATACTCCTCAACTTGTTGGCTCCGCCGAACGCAAACATCGGCATATAGTATAAACTGGGCTCACACTTCTCCATCAGGCCTCCATGCCTTCAAACTTTTGGACGACAGCCTTTCAAACTGCCGTCTACCTTATTAATAGAATGCTTACACCAGTCCTACAATACCAATCCCCTTTTGACACACTATTTCACAAACCCTCAAACCTTCATAAACTTAGAGTATTTGATTATTTATGTTATCCATGGTTATGTCTCTATGCCTTTCATAAGTTAACATCACAATCTAATCCTTGCTTTTTTATAAGTTACTCTCTTGAACATAATGCTTTCCGCTACTATAATCTGTCAGGACTCTAGCTAGGAGAGTCCCAATTAAGAGGGGCATTCATGTAAAATCTACCTAAACCGACCCCTATTAAAGAGGTAAAGAGGCCGGCTAGGGTTTGAAGGTTATTTCTTAAAGAAGAATTAGGAGTTGTAAAGGAATAGGAGTCTTGAGTAGAAGTCTTAATTGAGTAGGAGTCATATTAGGAGTTAGGGTTTAGAAACCCTATAAATAGTCATGTATTCATCCTCTTTTGATAAGCAATAGATGAATCTTTTCTGCAGCCTTTGAGCAGCAACTTGGAGGGAGGAACCCCTACAGAGTTCCAAGGAGACCGATCCCCTAAAGAGATCAGCCCCAAGTTTAGAATCTGCATGGGTTCTAACATAATCTCTACACTCACAAAATTTTTATATCACATCACGTTATTTTTTTTGAATCTGTCTTCCCTTTTCAAAACCGTACCTCTCTTACCATGTAGACCACCTCATTAGCCATTCCTCGTTGGAGTATACCTCCGATCCAACCGGACGAGCCTCCCATGACATTGTCCAGTTTTGATCCACACTATTCCACTCCTTCGGTTCAGCAACTGCCTATTCCTTCTATTCCTACTCCACTTCTTTCTTTTCCGACTATTGGGGTACTTGGTTCAGTATCACAATCGTTATCTTTAACTCCTTCTCGGCCAAGTAACCCTGATGTACCTCCACCTGACTCAGCCTGTGTCAATGACTCTCAACCGCTTCCTCCAACAACACAACCTCACGGTCCCGTAGTCTCTAACCATCCTATGACCATATGCTCTAAGAGTCGTATTTTCAAACCGCATCAAGTCCTTGATCTTCATGCTATCATGGATTCCTCATCCACCACCGTTGAACCCACCACCTTTACTCAAGCCTAAAAATCTCCGCATTAGCATACCGCCATGTGTGAGGAATATAATACCCTCCTCCATAACTCATCATGGGATCTAGTACCCTTTCATCATACACAAAACATCATTGGGTGTAAGTGGATTTTTCGAGTTAAGTGGAACCCTGATGGCTCTATTGCCCGATATAAGGCACGCCTCGTCGCTAAAGGGTTTCATCAAAGACCTGTAGTTGATTTCACTGAGACATTTAGTCCCATTGTTAAGCCCACTACAATCAGACTTATCCTGAGTCTGGCCACCACTAAGGGCTGGCAATTATGCCAATTGGATGTTAATAATGCCTGTTTACAAGGGACTCTAACTGAAGATGTTTTTATGCAACAACCTCCTGGTTTCACTCATCCTCAGTATTCAAGGCATGTCTGCAAACTTCGAAAAGCTATTTATAGACTTCGTAAGGCTCCAAGAGCTTGGTACACAGAACTTGGCTCTTTTCTGGCTTCAGTTGGCTTTCTCAACTCTAAATCTGATTCCTCGTTATTTTTGAGATAACACCATAGCGACACAATATATATTCTGGTATATGTGGATGACATCATTGTCACAGGTAACAACCCCGTAGAAATCCAAGCGTCCATCAAACAGTTGGTAAATCGATTCTCGCTCAAAAATCTAAGACCCCTAAACTACTTTCTAGGTGTCGAGGCTACATTCACATCTTCCGATCTCTTTCTGTCGCAAAGAAAGTACATTCAAGATTTATTATTTAAAACAAAAATGCAAAACGTAAATGTGGTTACAACTCCTCTATCTACTAGTGACTCTCTCAAATTATCTGATAGAAGTCCTGCTACAGAACTCACTCAATACCGACAAGTCGTTGGTTCCCCACAGTACTTAGCTCTCACCCGTCCCGACATCTCATTTGCAGTCAACAAATTATCATAGTTTATGCAAAGGTCGTCTACTATGCACTGGTCTGCGGTCAAACGAATCCTACGATATCTTAAGGGGACCCTCAATCATGGTGTCTTTCTTCATAAACACCCTCCACTTCAGCTTCATGCCTTTACCGATGCTAATTGGGCAGGCAACTTTGATGATCAAACATCCACATCAGGGTATATTATATTCCTTGGCGCTAATCCAATCAGTTGGAGTTCTAAAAAGCAAAAGACAGTCGCACGGTCTACAACTGAAGCTGAATACCGTGCCATCGTCACTGCCACTGCAGAACTCAATTGGGTCACAAATCTGCTCAAGGAACTCAACATCAACTCCACTCCTACAATATATTGTGACAATGTCGGAGCTACCTATCTGTGCGCTAATCCGGTGTTCCACTTCCGCATGAAACATATTGCTATCGACTTCCATTTTGTGCGAGATCAAGTTGTCCGCCTTCAACTACGAGTATCTCATGTCCATTCGGCTGATCAGTTAGCCGACTCACTCACGAAGCCTCTCGCTCGCCACCTTTTTACATTACATCGATCCAAGATTGGTGTCCTTGATAGGAGCACCATCTTGCGGGGGCATGATAGCAGATAAGATTTCCCTAACTATATGAGGAAATCTCTCTACTTTGTTGAGGGAAATCCTCCCTCCTAACCTGTATAAATAGGAGAGGGACATGTGAATACAATCAAGTTTCTTCGATAATTATTTTTATCTTCTATCTTTTCCAACAATATACACATATGCAGCTGACTCAAATGATATATGTATATACATAAAAGGGCTTTAGCGTGTTTGATGTTGGGAGCTGAATGCTTTTTCTGTGATATTATGTCCACTGAAATTGGGAGATGGTAGATCAGCCAGGTTTATGAGTCAGATCACAGCCGTCTCATCTGCCCTCTTGTTCTCCTGGTGTTACTACTTGCTAGACCAAAAGCACAAGGATAACAAGCATGAATATTGTAAATTATTGAAAAATAAATGTCTTCTTCCATGAACATACTGATAAAGTCCATTTAGCTAAATTGTTAATTAGTGTCTAGTGTAATAATGATTCTGAGAAACCATGACCAAACACTTTGCAAATCATGTAGTGGAGCTGCAAGTGCTATTTTTTATATGCCAATCTAATATCAGGTATTTCTTAAAGAAATACCTGAAGGTTTTCTTTGATGTAATATGTATTTATTTCATTTGTCTTTGTTAATTTTATTGATGCCCTCTGTTCTTCATCAGCAAATCGAACTGTTGACGTTACTGAAATGTGGTGAGCTCGGAAACAGGAATTGGAGTTGGAAGCTAAGCTTGAGGATAGATCCAAGAAACACAGACGCAAAAGTAGGGGCTGGAAGCATCACACAAATTCACCACATATGGGTTTCTAGCTCAAGGCACAAGCAGGAGAACAAGAAAACTGCCATCCCATGGCCATCAAGCAAACAAGATCCGGAAGACTGCTGCACACATGAAGATGATGGTCTTAGAGACACAGAAGTCGAAGAGTTTCTTCACTCGAGGTTATAAATTATTTTACCGTATGCCTCATAGTTGTTATCCTCAGGATGGTTAAGAGCATTCTAGATATTTATGGTAGCACCTAGGCGCATAGTTGTTACCTGATGCATCTACCTTTGCAAGTATACATAATCATGGTTTTTGCTCTGTAGGTTCAAGAATGGGATGAAGCTGGTCCATATCTTTCACAGACATGTTCTGATCAAAGATGGTGACTCGCCAAGTCATGATGTGCGGGTGAAGGAAGAATGGGAAAACCATGTTATTGGCCCTGAGATTCTGATGAATTCTGATAGTGAGTCAATAACATGGTTTCTCTTCCCAAGATGGTGAGAAACCAACCTACTTGTAATGATTCTGATGCAGAAACTAGGTTGTGCCGTACAAGGAGTTCAAGAAAGTGTCATTCCAAGAAAAGGAGATCAAAGGAAGAGAAACTAGGAAAAAGACAAAAGGACAGAAAAGAGATCCTAAAAGCAGAAGAACACAGGATTGATGTATAAAGGTGAGATATAACTTACTCAAACGTTCTTGTAGAATTAAAAAAAAAAGTAATGATTTCACGCATTTGATGGATCATCCAAGTTACATCAGACCTTCTCATGTGGTGCATCAGTGAATAATGAGAAATCAATAATCAATACCCCCTGTGGTTCACGAGACCCATGATACGCTTTGGATGTCCTACTCTTTGTTTGACCATAAAAAATTGGAGTGAAAAATGGTTAACGTAGAAAAGATCAGCACAGAATTGTTTGGAAAACAGCTTATATGGACGACAAGGGTGGGAAAGGAAAGCATACTTTCTTTGTTATTCGAATGGCCATGTCCTTGTGTTTGATGGTTGATCCAATTTATTTCTGGGATCTTCGTTCGTGTATCAGTTAGTCGTGCTTGCTATTTCAACTGTGATCTCTCTCTATCATTAGTTGTGATCAGCCTGATGGTGAGTTGAAACATACCATGTCTTCCCTCCCTCCTGATGACTTAAATCCACTTCCTTGTTTGCTTGCTGGAGCCTCTAATTGATGTTAGGATCGAACGCCTCTCTCTGACATGAAATAAGAGGATTGGTTCCAGATCCATATATCTAAAAACCAAATGTCAACTGTGGTTACATTTGATTCCTCGAATGGTGTGGTTTGTACTATGCTCCTTTAAATGGATCGTTGGACGTTTTCATGTCGTGGCGGTACCGTTGATTCGTTGTCGGCCACGAACCAAGTGGATGTGTGCCTGACAGCTGCTGATCGGTCCGGTACTACATCATCTCATCCTGCTTTCTTGCACTCGTTCATTAAATGAATGTTGGGGTGATCATCGAACCACCGCTTCGATACAATACATGGCACGATGAGCTGATACCATCGTGGATGGCGCACTACGAATCGCAGTGGTACTCTACAGCAGGAGGGTGCGGATGCCACCACCGTCAGTGAAGTCCAATCGTTGTATGTTCCCGACGGCCTACAACGCACCCGGACCCGGTGAATTGGTGGGATACACGTCACCGGATTAAAGCTGTTATCCGGTGATGGCCGGATTAAATAACCGGATAACATGAGAGAAAGAAAAGAAATGCGATGTTACCGAAATGCGAGAAAGAAAAGCAAAATCTAAAGCTAAAGCTGTTACCGAAAGCTGTTACCGAAAAATCTAATATGAGAGAAAGAAAAGAAACAAATATCAGACATCCCATCACTCCGAGGCCAGAGAAAAATCTAAAGCTGTTACCGAAATGCGATGTCAAATCTCTTGATGAAGGCTCAAACATACACAACATCATTGAACTAATCTCAAGCTCTGTTACCAAAATGCGATGCCAAATCTCTTGATCGAGGCTCAAACATATATAGATCTATCACGGAAAGAGTGAAATCAAACAAGTGGAAGAACACAATTTAGACGTACTTGAAAGCGTAACATCAATTGAACTAATCTCAAGCTGTTACCAAAATGCGATGTCAAATCTCTGGTCAAGGCTCAAACATATGTAGATCTATTACGAAAAGAGTGAAATCAAACAAGAGGAAGAACACAAATTTAGACATACTCGAAATCATAACATCATTGAACTAACTGGAAAGGCCTAGGGTATTCCGGTGCTGAACGAAGTGATATTTCAATTCCACACCGTATATTTTATCAGACAAAAACTTGTAGTTCCGGTTATGCAGCTCAAAATAGTTGCTTTACTATTTGACATGATTGCTGAATCCAAATTCATTGACAAGTTCAAATAATACAACTTAATTTCAACAGTTATGAAAGCCATCATGCACTTCGTTGGTCAGGAACAGACCTGCCACCGAACTTGCATTAAAAGACAAAACACGCTGTGCCTATCAAAATTTTGGTTTCAAGCGGAAATTATTCAGTGACAGAAAAAGAAGATATACTGCTGTCCGTATTGAATGTGCCTATAAGTCGAGAAGCAGCCGGCGAGGATCTTCAACCACATCCTTGATGCGTCGCAGGAAGAATACAGCCTCTCTACCGTCGATCAGCCGATGATCATAAGTCAGAGCAACATACATCATCGGCCTCGGAATAATGTTACCATCGACCACCATCGGACGGGACACTATGGAGTGCATGCCTAAGATGGCAGACTGCAGAAAAGATGCAGACACATCAGGGTTAAGCCACAAGACATGGAACAGACAACTCTGTTTGCAAATTAGGTGAATTACTTGTGGGGGGTTGATTATAGGTGTGCTCAAAAGACTCCCATAGACTCCTCCATTGGAAATCGTAAATGTGCCTCCAGCCATCTCATCAATTGATATTGTCCCATTGTTTGCCTTCTTTGCGAGGTTATTGATCTCTTTCTCTATCCCCGCAAAATTCAACCTACCAGCATTCCTGATAACTGGAACCACAAGGCCCTGAAAAAAATTTAACAATTGATTAACCCAACCATACTATTGAATCTTGATGGAACACTCCATGATATCAACATACCTTTGGTGTGCCAACAGCTATACTGATATCAACATAGTCTCTATATATAATATCATCCCCGTCGATGACTGCATTTATGATTGGCTGGTTTTGGAGTCCAGAAACAGCAGCCTGAGACATGAAAATCACAAAATATAAAGAAGCAAGTCATCAACAAAAATATCTCTTTATTGCTTATCACCATTACATACCTTAACAAAACCTGACATGAGACCCAACTTCACACCATGCTTTTCTACAAAGGCATCTTTATATTCAGACCGAAGCTTCATCAGATTTGTCCTACAATATGGAGTTCATGACTTAAAGGTACTAGATTATGCATATTTACCAGAAAAGCAACCATGAATACAATTGGATGTGTATAATAAACAGAATCATCAAGTTGTTGATTTGACAGTTGCAAAGTGGAACTAATAGATGGAAAATGTTAGACAAACTTAGGCTAAAGGGCACATGAGACCCTTGCTTCTGTAGGGTCTGGGAAAGGTCAACCAAGTAACTAAACAAGAAAACTGAACCAAACTGGGGATTCAGCTAATAGTCTGAATTATCTTAACTAGTTACTTTGGTTTGAAAATTATAAAAGTGAACAACTTTTCAACAGTTCAGCTAGGAGTTAAAAAACATCCATCAAACCAAACTGGATATTATATAATGAAGGGTTACACGTAAACAAATACAGGTCATATGCGTTGCATTGCCACATTATTCCAGCATGTTAATATAAAGGCACATAAATAAAATTCTTATCCTTATAAATGTAAATGTACTGAGAGGCTGTAACTGTACAAAACACAATATGAAATTCTTAAACCAGAACATGGACACAGCAAGTCAATTTGCCATAGCCTTACCCTAACAAAGCAAACAAGCTGTTTCTACAGTTTAAACTCATGGTGCTCAGGACAATAAAGCATCTTCATTGCGACACTAAGTCTGGCAGTCACAAAATAAACATATGCTTAAGGACTACAACTAATTAGTGTCAGGAACACCTACATGTCAACTTCATTGAAGGTAGTTAACATTGCAAATGTGTTCTGAGAATCCTTCAAACGTGTAGCCACCCTTTTTCTAAGCCTAGGCATTGGAACCTGTAAAAGGAATTGAAGTTCAAAAGACTGAAGCTGTATTTCAAGAACAATTGAATAATTTATCATTGTCTTAATTGGACACGAAATCTGCAGTCAACATAATTCTGATAGGCAAACCCAAGCGACTTACTCGTCTTTCCCTTTCCTTGGGAGGTAACTGAGGTTCTGAAGGTGAGGTTTTGGGGAGGGTTGCAGCTGAGGGTACTTTAGGCTTTTCTTTGGTAGAACCTTCTTCCTTAAGCACTTGTTTGTCAATCTTCTCTGTTGGAGGAGTTGGCTGGGGAGCACCAGTAGGAGGTGATGGTGGTTGAGCATCTTTGACCACTTTATCATCTGATGGGGCAACATGTGTGTCGCTAGGATAAGACTTGGATATCACAGCAACCTTAGTTCCAGGTGTCACAGTATCACCTTCCTTGGCTACAAACTGTCAACAGCAAAAACCACTGAATTTTGTATGAACTGCGAGAAGGAAGAATCAACTATATAGAAGAAAATTATCAGAAGCCAAATTAAGATGACCTCTGACCTTTTGGATAATTCCAGCTTCAGGACTATTTACATCAATAGTCACCTGAAACAAAGATTCGATGATGAGAACAGTTCTGAGCAACCAGTTACACTATAAAAATCAAACATTAGTACCTTATCAGTCTCAATCTGGGCAATCGGTTCATCAACTTCAACCCTATCACCAGGTTCTGTGCCAGATTTCATGGCCATAAGACAATTAGCATATTCGGAATGTAAAAGGACAAGCGCATTACATGCATTTATGAGAACTTTCCCCTAAGTGTTTCAGATAGGAGCAATTTGATATCACAAACCCACCCCCCCAAAAACAGATTTTTCGACCTTGTTTATCAAACTTTCGGTTATTTCAGGGATCTTTGAGGTTACAACTTATGTATATATGTAACAGAACGCCCGCATAAGCATCAACAACTATGTTTATACGCATGGAGAAAAGGGCAAAGTACATACTTTTCAAGAAGGTAGCTAAAGTTCCATCAGTAATAGATTCACCCATGAAGGGAACAACAGCATCGACCAAGTCACCTGAAGAGACTTTTTTTCAATTAACAAACTTCATTTCCAAACAAATCACAGGACAATGGAGATAATTTCTAATGCGGCAAAAGCAGGCAAAATAAGCATCTGCAAGTGCATACCATTCTCAGAAGCAAATGACCTACTCCACATTTGATAAGGAGAGGCCCTTGGGAGCAGCATTGTAAGTTCCCTGCAATTTTCACTTATGTATGATATTAAAGAACACAAACACGCAACATTCACAAGCAACAAAACCAAAAAGGTCCCTCCCAAGACCTAACCTCGCAGGCTTCGAGCACACCAAGCCACCTGAAAAAAATATATGATGTGAGATTGAGGTGACCGTTACGATGAAGTGCAATTGTGATATACAGAAAAATCACCTGGAAGCATATGATGGCTTAATTGCCGGACATGTCTACAACTTCTTGCAATGAGTAGAGCCTGTCAGGACATACAAACTAAGAAAATTAAGTGCATCTAATGATGATTAGTAGACAGGGATACTATGCACAAAAATGATAGAAGCATATAACTCGCAATCGGAACTCAGAAACTTTATAGGTATAAAAACATTTGACTCAAGAAAAACCCTAAAAGATATTTAAGCTGCATCATAACACCAGATAAGGGGATGCCACCCATCTACATCTCACCATCTCCTCCCCACCCATTGTCTTCCCATCAGGATTTTCACCATACAATTCAGCCGTTTATACAACGAAAGAAGAAAAAGATTTCATCTCTGCCGAAGAAGAACGCAAGGCAAACGTCGAATTGCACATCTCGAGGGGGGTTTTGTGTCAAGAAAACACAAAAAGAAACCCATCATTCGCTTGCAGCAAAAAGACCGAAAGAGATAGAGAGCAGAGATGAAAGAGGGGGAATGCAAGAATCGAGGATCTCATCGGGTTAGGGAGCTTACGGCGGCGGGCCGGCGTACAAGGCGGATCACAGCGGAAGCCATTCCGGAGATCAGGCAAGCGAATAGGTCGGCTGAAAGAGGGAAATAAATGGACGGATTCTAAGAAGAGACGGAGGAGAAAAAGGAAGAAAAATGCCACTTTTCCTTCCGGTGGTTTCCCTTACCACTCACCCGTATTCCAGTATGACGGCAAAACCCCCTCCCCTCCCCTGTCTCCCCGCTGTGCATGTGCTCGTCACGTGGCCCTACTGGAATTGGAGCTTCGCCCACAGTGGAACACTTGCCTTCGTGATTAAAGACACTCATGGTCCCCTTCCTCTACTCAAATAACAAATCAGGTAAAGATTCGAGTTAAATTCTCCTTTTCTGGAGTAATCAATTGAGATCCGCGCAAGATTGAATGGAAATAATTTTATTGACTTGCAAAATCCCAACCCGTTGACATGCTGTGTGACGTCAATTTTACGCAGCTGCATGATTCATGTGACGAGGCAGTTCGCACGAATAGTGTGAAATCACCAGTCACTACGCGTACCGATGAGGTGTCTGTCTGGCTAGCATCCGAAGAACGTGGGAGCGAAAACATTTTTAGGTGTCTATGTCGTCAATGTCACTCGTACTTTCTTAGGCGATTTTTTCTAGAAAAATATTCTTATTTTAAATATTTTTCAAAGATACCCTTCTTCTATTTTTTCCTCAAACAATACTCTTGTTTATGATTATTTTTTAATAATATGTTATTAAGATGCTAAAAATATTATAAGTGATATTGTGTGTCTTTAGTTGTCATTACTCATAAACAATTACAATATTATATTTATAGACTTATAACTAATTTTGATTGAGGTCGGAATAGATCATTTATCATGTTTTCATGTAGATCTTATAAAATTTTTATTATGATAATCAAAATAATATAACTAGCCGAAAACCCCAAAAGATTATAATAGACAAAAAAAAATTAATGAATAATTTAAGTATTTTTAAAATTAGAAGTATTATTAAATAGCAAGAATAAAATGGAGAGTATCTATTGGTATTTTCTATAGAAATAACCCTATTTCTATAAGGGGAGAGAAGAGTTCCCTGTGCAAAATAGACCCTGTTTTCCATTTGGTATCTCACATCGAAAGGCAGGATTTCTTAGATTTTTCTTCATTGCATAGACACCTACAAGTGTGCTCTCTAGACGTGATGTACTCTCTCAGAGTGGAGGAATCATGGAGACTGAGAATACAATATTTGGTAAAATTATGGAGCAATTGGTTCCTTTTTATCATGCCCAAATGTCGCGATCCATAGGTTAACTGGTCTATCAACTTCGTTTAAATTAAATCATTGATCAAAATATTTAAGCTAAAATTAATAATAATATACTCATCATATTCTTATAAGTCAATCTTAATCTTGTTCACTTCTTATGTAGAACTAATCAGGAATCTTACAAGAACTGATGTAACATAAGAAGCAAAGACAATTGAATTTACAAGAAGATGTTGTTGAAATTTTTGAACATTTTACTCCAAAAAAGACAATTCAAATGATCGAAAACATTGCATAAATAAATAATTTCCCATAATACAACATGTAATAGCTATGTTCTTTTCTTATAACGAAACATGAAGTTGTTAGTTTAGTATGACACCAACCGAGGACTATTAACTTATGTCATTGCATGATTAGAGAGAGTGTGATCACATCTGATAGCATGCACTAGTAAAAGTAAATGGAGGATATATATGGCGCCATTTCTAAGATGGAAAGGGATGCAGGAGATGTTTCCTCACCTTCCTCGTTGAATCTTAACAAAGACAGAAGCTGATTCTGCAAAATATAAAAATGCAACACACAACTCAAGTGTGTGTAACAAAGACAGAAGAAGCTCATTATCGATTATGCAGAACACAAATTGAAAACTCATACATACGTAGTAAAGACGGTTCATTTGACAAATATGACCAAAGAAACGTCACATGAAACTGAACAAATAGACTTTATCGACCTATGGAATTACGTTCCCAGAATCAAACTAGAAGATTCATCGATTTAATTTTCTCTCTGCCTTGGAACAGCTAGAACCAATAGAATATGTTTATTAATCATGTCATCAGTCTTTCTGGCATACGTCTAGCTCAGTTCAGTACAGCAGCATTATGTTTCTTGGATGTGATAAGATGGACGGTTGTCCAAGCACATGACACTGTCAATCAACGACTCGTAATGTCGCCAAATAGACAAATTCACTTCTCTGAATCTTCTCAAGTAGACAATAGTAGCGCTTTCTAACGAAGAATAGCAAGTGGATATGGAAAGCTATAATTTCACATAATATAATTTATCATAATTAATCTTTTGGACAATTTGGAAACCCACATAGAGTTTTTGTTTAGGCACACCCATTTGGTTCTATAACATAGTGCAGTACATTTAATTTTTCACGTACTAAAAATTTGTCCGACTCATTTCAAGTGGAAAATACCAAATGAAAATACAACATAAATAGTTACTTCATTAGTCTTTGTAATCCATTTTACTAAAAATATTTTCACTTCTTTTATAAAATTATATGACATAAATATTTATTTATTTATTCTGTAATAAATTTTTAAAAATTTAATTTAATTTAATTTTGTGGAGATGAACTTATTCAATTAATCAAGGTGTGTTTGATTGAGTATATTATGACACTTTTCTTGATAAATACCCGTTATGGGAAAAATGATATGGACGATGTCTTGACGTTACATGGTCGACTCTCCGACACCACATGGCCAACACTTTGGTGTACGTGGTTGACACATCGATGTCATGCGATCAACACATCGACACCAAGCAATCGGCACCTTGATACTAGGTGGTCGACTCCTCGACATCAAACAATTGATACCTTGGCACTAAACGATCAACTCCTCGGTGTTAGCGATTGACACCCCGATGCCACATGATCGATACCTTAGTGTCAAGCGATTAATACCATGGTACTATGTGGTAGGCACGTTGGTACTCAATGGCTCCGTCTCATCTCATTAACCATCCATACCCACCATTTGAGACACGTAATGTGTTAAAGCATTACACCATCTCAGACTCAATAGAAATCAACAATACTTGTGCCCAAGATCAACATACCATATTCCCACAAGCAACATACCATTCAAAGATCTCAAGAAACCCACT